GGGGGTGCGGCCGTGTTAGCCATTACGCCATCGGCTAGTCCCGGTGGTCCTCTTTCTTGAACTTCTTCTGGTGCCAGGTTCAACAGCTCCTTCTCATCTGCCCTCCAGGCCGACTAGCACTGAAAACTCTAAGCAGGAAGGTGAGAAAAGAGCTCAGCAGAGTGGACCAGAGGCATCGCGCCAGCCAGCTCCGAAAGCAGAAGAAGGAGGCGGTGAGGAGGGGTTGGGGAACGGTATGGTTTAACCGTTGGCTTTTTCTACCCGGAGCTACAAAATGTGACCCAGGGAAGGGCCTGAGGACTGGCTGAAAGTGGAGCGTGTAGGTCTCCATTCGCACTAGAAGCGTTTTGCATGGGTCCCGGCTCCTGCCACTCCAGGTTTACGTTCAGCCTTTTGCCCACAGAGATGCTGGTTAGGGGTGGGGCCTCTGTGCTGTTTGAAACGCAGTACAGCTGAGAAGTACTGAGACTTAGGGATGTTCTTTGATCTTTTTTTATTCTCAGGTTCTGGCAGAGAAGAGACAGTTGGGCAGCAAGGATGGCCCTCCTCATCAGGTACTGGTGGTGCCCCTGCACAGCAGGATTTCCCTGGTGGAGGCCTTCCGGCTGCTTCAGGATAGGGACATTGGAACCGTGCACTTGAATGAATGGGGAAACACCCACAGCTTTATGCTGCTTTGCCCCTCTTTGAAACATCGGTGGTTTTTCACATCTGCAAAGCCAGGTCAGAGTGTACAACAGTATTTTCTTTCATATTTGAGTAGTGATACGTTTATTTGAGTATAATATATTGGTGCCAACCATCTCCCACTGTGTCTTCTATCTCCAGGAGATCTGCACACTGTGTTAGACATGGCTAAAGTAGCTGATACCATCCTGTTCCTCCTTGATCCACTAGAAGGCTGGGACAGCACTGGGGATTACTGCCTTTCCTGCCTCTTTGCCCAGGGTCTTCCCACCTATAGTAAGTGACTTGGAGTATTGGAGGCTAGGGGAGGAAGTGAATTTGCATTTATTTTTCATTTATAATTTGCTAGACATTGTCTGGCATTTCATATAGAAATACAACTGATGGGTTATATTTAGCTGGTGGTGGCATATATGTGTACGGATTAAACTTGGTCCATTAACTTACAAGTTTTCAGTTTTTATTTCTGGGCTATCCTTCACACAGAGGAAGGAAAAGAATATGAAATTTGATTTTACTGTGAAATATCTTTAGGGTGGCTGAGTGTTGGGTTTTCCAGCGTTCTCTGGGCTTACAACTGAACCATTAGATAGTATGTGAACTGCAGGGAGATTTTCATGATTTCAGGGGAGCAATAGATCATATCATGAAGCCCTCTCTTTTGCTTACAGCACTAGCTGTCCAGGGGGTTTCTGGCCTCCCACCAAAGAGACAAACAGATGCCAGAAAGAAGCTAAGTAAAGCCATGGAGAAGCGCTTTCCTGATGACAAGCTCTTCCTGTTAGACACTCAGCAGGAGGCAGGGATGCTGCTCAGGCAATTGGCTAACCAAAAGCAACGGCATCTTGCGTTTCGAGATCGGCGTGCCTACCTGTTTGCCCATGCTGCTGACTTTGTGCCATGTGAAGAGAATAACTTAGTGGGCACCTTGAAAATCTCAGGCTATGTTCGTGGGCAGACTCTGAACGTAAATAGCTTGCTACATATTGTTGGACATGGTGATTTCCAGATGCAACAGATAGATGCTCCAGTTGACCCTTTCCCTTTAAATCGCAGAGTTACTAAATCCCAGAAGGACCCAAGCATGACAATGGAGGTAAGATTGCTGTTTATTTTTTTAAGTTTATTTATTTATGAAAGAGGGAAAAGGAGGGATGAAGGGAGGCAGGGAGAGAGAAAGAAGCATCCCCAACAGGGTCTTCATACTGTAATATACCCTCAACTTCAGCTACCCTGTCATGGCCATGTGCCTGTACCCTCACTTTGCACAGGAAGCCCTTGGGGTATGAACTGGGACCTCAGGTGGGTCCAGCATTTGCAGAGCATTGTGTTACTGCTGTGCCACTGGCTGGCCCAAGAGTGATGTTCTTAAACATAGTGTATTAGAGATTTACATGTAAGTTGGTTCAGAATGGAAACTTTAATTCAGGAAAGGTAGTCTGCATATGTAGGCCAATGAAGTGACTGCTAGTTTGAAGGAAGGCTATAGTCAACTACAGATAAATTGTGTATTTATCCAGCACTTTTTTAATATCCTGAACTGTAATTGGCTCCAGTTTTTTTTTTTTTTTTTGAAAGGTTTTTGCTCTGGGGCATGTATGCTTGCCCGAAAGACAGAGAGACTGCGAGATAGAAAGTGAGAGATCACCCCCCAGGGGGGATGGCCACGCCACAATCCCTTCTCCTCCAGTCTCCTCTCGGGATCTTGGGCACGCACGCACATGCGCCCAGCGTGAGTTTAAGCCACCAGGTCCGGGACTTGAACTGCAGTTGGCTACGTGGGAGTCTAGTGACATAGCCATTACTACCCTACCTCTTGGCCCCATTTTTTTTTTTTTTTTTTTTTTTTTTTTTTTTTTTTGAGAGGTTTTCACTATAGGGTGCATGCGCTCGCCAGACAGAGAGAGACATAGAGACAGAAAGCGAGAAATCACCTCCCAGGGGGGGATGGTCATGCCGCAATCCCTTCTCCTCCATTCTCCTCTCGGGATCTTGGGCACGCACGCACACACGCCCGGCGTGAGTTTTAAGCCAACGGGTCCGGGACGCGAACCGCGGTCGACTACGTGGGAGTCCAGCGACATAGCCATTATGCTAACTGCTGGTTCCCCCATTGGCTCCCGTTTTATAGAAGATATATGATACGTGGTTGCTTTCCTTAAAGAAAAATATGGCAAATACTGGTGAAATAAAGATGGAGATAGTTGTGTCTGTCTGTAACTAGGTATACAGACGTGCTCTGAAAGTTGAGAAGTAAACTAGCAAGCTTCAGAGAAGAGATCAGACTTGAGTCAGGTGTTGAAAGAATGAATGTGATTTAATGAATTAAAGAGGGATTATACAGATATCCTAGAAATTAGAGATAACATGAATTTAGGCACAATGATAGATCAGAGGGTTTCTTTAAGCTTTGAAGAAATCACCTCAGTGGGAGTGAAATATGTCATAAAGCTGTAAGAATGGGACCAGATTAAGAGGGGGCTCAGGAGCCAAGCAGAGTATAGACTTAAAATGCCAGGGAACAGCCACTTGAAAATGTTGATAAATGTTTGTTTTCTGTTCCATTCGTTTTATGCATATGGACTGAAGTTTCTGAATCTTTGTGCTTACTGTTTAAATGTAGGTTTAGTAATTTTGGTTTAGTGTTTGGCTGTCTTCTGCTTTTGGTTTTCAGACTTGTGCTCTGGATGCAGTAGCTGAAATGGAAGAAGACTTTAAGGTCCTAATGAAGGCAGACCCTGCTAAACAGGAATCTTTGCAAACAGAGGTTATCCCAGATCCAATGGAGGGGGAGCAAACCTGGCCTACTGAGGAGGAGCTAAGTGAGGCACATGGTTCGTATTAGGGAACTTGTTTGTAATTCACTTAAGTTGGGACTGTGGATTTTGTCTCACTGCTCATAGTGAGAATCCTTACAGGGTAGAGTGGGGTGAGGATGCAGTTGAAGATACATCACCTCTCCTTACTCCCAAATGCTGTCTTTACATTTGCACTAAGCAAACAGTGGACAAAACTTTGTTCAGTTTCTCAAAATCACTTGTTATTGGATTTGTTTCTGTTTTATTTGTTTTTACAAATTATTTATTTAACTTTATTATTTTTTAATTTGACCAGAGAGAGACATAAGGAAAGTGAGAAAGCAAGCTGCCAAGTCTAGGACTCGAACTGGGGTCGACTATGTGGGAGTCCAGGTTCTTGATCACAATGCCATCTGCCAGCCCTGTGTTTTTGTTTCAAATAAAAGAGAGCATGTAGGAGGAGAGAAGGGCTTTTTTTTAAAACAAACAAAAAGACTTTCCACAGAGCACATGCACTCACCAGAAACAGACATAGAGAGGGAAACCCCATCACTATAGAGGGCGAGGATGGCCTTACAGCAATCTCTTTTCTATTCTTTTTACAATTTTGGCAGGCCTGTGTTTTCAGGCTGCGGGATCCAGGCTTTAACTACCACGCCACCTGCTGGTTCCAACGTAGGCTTTTTTTATTTTTTTTTGAGAGAGATTTTTGCTATAGGGCATGTGCACTTGCCAGACAGACTGAGAGACAGAAAGCGAGAAATCACCCCTCCCAGGGAGGATGACCACACTGCAGTCTGTTCTCCATTATCCTCTCAGAATCTTCGGCATGCACACATAACATGCCTGGGATGAGTTTTGTAAGCCACTGGGTCCAGAACTCCAACTTCAGTCGACTACGTAGGAGTCCAGCGTAGGCATTACGCCATCTACTGTTCCCCAAGATAGACTTTTTTTTTTTTTTTTTCATTTTTTGAGAATTTTTTGATATAGGGTGTGTGTGTTTGCCAGAAAGACAGACAGAAACAGACAGAAAGCTAGAAATCACCCTCCCTGGGGGGGGGAAGGCCATGCCACAGTCCCCTCTCTTCCATTCTCCCCTCAGGATCCTGGGCACACATGCACATGAGGCTGGCATGAGTTTAAGCCACTGGGTCTGGGACTTGAACTGCAGTTGGCCACATGGGAGTCCAGCGATATAGCCATTATGCCAACTGCTGATCCCAAGATAAGCATTATTTTTTTTTTGGAGAGGTTTTTGCTATAGGTAGGGCGTGTATGCTTGCCAGATGGACAGATAGAAAGCGAAAAATCACCCCCCGGGGGGATGGCTACGCCGCAATCCCTTCTCCTCAATTCTTTTGGGATCTTGGGCATGTGCGTGCACGTGCCTGGCATGAGTTTAAGCCACCAGGTCCGGGACTTGAACCGCTGTCAACCAAATAGGAGTTCAGCGACATAGCCACTATGCTAACTGCTGGTCCCAAGATAGGCATTTTTATTTTTTTTTTTGAGAGGTTTTTGTTATAGGGTGCGTGCACTTGCCAGAGAGACAGAGAGAGAGAGAGACAGAAAGTGAGAAATCACCCTCTGGGGGGATGGCCGTGCCACATTCCCTTCTCCTCCATTCTCCTCTTGGGATCTTGGGCACGCATGCACACGTGCCTGGGGTGAGTTTAAGCCGCCAGGTCCGGGACTCAGATTGCCGTCGACTTCGTGGGAGTCCAGGGACATAGCCATTACGCTAACTGCTGGTACCCCATGATAGGCATTTTTGACAGGGCTCACCAACTTGCAGTCTTGTCCCAGCCTCCCAGTGACTTAGGGACAACAGTTAAATATTACTATACTAGCATGTTCAGGTTAGGGCAGGAGCTGAACCCAGCTCCCATGCAGTCTCAGCTACCTTGCAGCAGCATCCTCCCACTTGCACCTCTTGAGACTGAGCCTACTTCTGTTATCTTATTCTATTTTTTAAAAAAGTATTATTGGGTCCAACAAGTGACATAGTGGTAAAAGGCGCTGGACTCCCACATGGCCGACCACGGTTCAAGTCTCGGACCTGGTGGCTTGCTTTCTCACTTCCTCTCTCTCTCTCTGTGTCTCTCTGATCAAACTGGAAAATAATGTAATAAATAAAGTTAAATAAAATAATCCTTTCTTTTTTAAAAAAAGGATTATTTATTTATTAAGCTTTATTTGTTATTGTTATTTTTCAATTTGACCAGAGACAGGAAGAGAGAAAGGGAAAGTGAGAAAGCAAGCCACCAGATCCAGGACTTGAACCGTGGTCAACCATGTGGGATTCCAGCGCCTCAACCTCCACACCATCTGCTGGTCCCTGAGAGCTTTTTGGAATGGGGTGCGTGCACTTGCCAGAAAGAAAGACAGAAAGTGAGAAATCACCCCCCGGGGGGATGGTCACGCCACAATCCCTTCTCCGTTCTCTTGGGATTTTGGGCACACATGCACACACGTACCTGGAGTGAGTTTAAGCCACTGGGTCCTGGACTTGAATCGCGGTCAACTACATGGGAGCCCAGTGACATAGCCATTATGCCAGCTGCTGGTTCCTGCAGCATTTATTTTTATTTATGTGGTATTTTTTTTTTTGAAGAATTATTTCATTTATCTTTTGTTTAATTATTTATTTTAATTTGGCCAGAGAGGGACAGAACGAGAGAGAAAAAGAGAGAGAAAGTGAGAAAGCAAGCCACCAAGAAAACAAGCCACCACGTCTGGGACTCGAACCATGGTCGGCCATGTGGGAATCCAGCGCTCTAAACCACCACACCATCTGCCAGTCCCTTTTTGTTTATTTTTAGAAATCTTGCTAGAAAGTATGTGTGCTTGCCAGTGGGCGGGGTAAGAGAGAGAACGTGAGCTACTCCATGATGGATGGCTATACTGCAGTCCCTTCTTTGTTTCTCCTCTTAGGATTCTGGGCATCCATGCACATGCATGTGGAATTTTTCAAGCCACCAGATCCAGACTCAAACCAAGAAGTTGGCAGTGTGGGATCCAGCCGCCTTAACCACCACACCACTAGCACTGCAACATTTATTAAACTGTATGAGTTTAATTTTTTAAATATTTATTTATTAAGCATTAATAGTTGTGAGACAGCGGAGTTAATTTTAGAAGTATTTCTAAGTCTTTTTCTACTCAGTTTTGTGTTAGAGTTTCCCATGTTGACGGCAGTATCTTCTAGCATTTTGCCTAGGTGAAAATACTGAGAGTAACAGAAAAAAGGTAGACTATATTAGCTCATTGGAAAAGTCATGGAATATTTTTCTGTGGTTTTCTTTCTTTTTTTTTTTTTTTAAGAGATTTTTTGCTATAGGGCGCATGTGCTCCCCAGAAAGAGACAGACAAAAAGTGAGAAATCCACCCCCCTAAGGGGGTAGCCATGCCATAACCCATTCTCCTTCATTCTCCTCTCAGGATCTTGGGCACGCACACACATGCACACCTGGCATAAGTTTAAGTGGGACTCGCTGTTGACTACGTGGGCATCAAATGACATAACCATTACACCATCTGCTGATCCCTTTGTTTCTCTTTTTTTTTAGGAGAGATTTTTGCTATAGGGTGCGTGCATTCGTTGGATAGACAGAGTTCAAGAAATCACCCCCCTGGGGGGATGGCCATGCTGCAGTCTCTTCTCCATTCTCCTATTGGTATCTTGGGCCCACATGTACACATGCCCGTTGTGCGTTTTAAGCAGCTGGGTCTGGGACTCAAACTGGTCAACTAAATGGGAGTCCAGTGACGTAACCATTATGCCATCTGCTGGTCCTTATGTTTTTTAATGCAAAAATGTGTCATTACTTTTCTAACCACCCAATAACTTACTTGTTTGATCTTTTACAGACTTCCTGAAGGAAAGTTCCAAGGTCGTAAAGAAGGTCCCCAAAGGAACATCTAGTTACCAAGCTGAATGGATTTTGGATGAAACTGGTGAAAGTGACGGGGAAGGAGATGAATATGATGATATAGAACATGAGGATTTTATGGAAGAAGAATCTCAAGTAAGGAAATGGGCTCTTAGGCCACTTTTGTTTATAGCTTCAAATGCAAGGCAAAGTGCAGTCCCAACCATAATGGGTGTGTGTAGTTTTTTAGGAATAACTTAGCAGTTACGGGAATTAGATTTTTGTTTTATACCTTAGCCACTGTTAGAATTTATATTGATTTGGACCAGCTATTTAATAAAATTACTTTATTCTTATGTTAATAACTTTTCTGGTAGAGACAGGTGTGGATTACTTCTTTTTTCTTTTTTTTTTTTTTGGAGAGATTTTCACTGTAGGGCACGTGTGCTCGCCAGACAGACAGAGAGAGACATAGAGACAGAAAGCAAGAAATCACCCCCCAGGGGGGATGGTCATGCCGCAATCCCTTCTCCTCCATTCTCCTCTCGGGATCTTGGGCACGCACGCACACGCGCCCGGCGTGAGTTTTAAGCCACCGGGTCCGGGACACGAACCGCGGTCGACTACGTGGGAGTCCAGCGACATAGCCATTACGCTAACTGCTGGTTCCCTGGATTACTTCTGAACTAACTAATCCTTTATTTTACAGGATGATAGTAGTGAAGGGGAAGAGGAGGAATGTGAAACTATGACAATAGGGGAGTCTGTGCGTGATGATCTATATGATGAAAAAGTGGATGAAGAGGCTGAGGAAAAAATGTTGGAGAAATATAAACAAGAAAGGCTGGAAGAGATGTTTCCTGATGAAGTGGATACCCCCCGTGATGTGGCTGCTAGAATTCGGTAAGTCAACAAGTCTAAATCATTCAATAAGTTTTTATTTAAAACTTACGTGGGTCAGAATATGCCAGAGTGATGCAAAGGAAAAAAAACACATTGTCCCTGCTCCTGCAAAGGAAAAAAAACACATTGTCCCTGCTCCTGCAGGGCTAACATTCTACATGGGAAGGCAAGACATACATAGAGGAAACAGTAATACATAATCAAGTTCTAGACTGTGGTACAGACTAACGATTCAGAGCTTTAAAGGGGAGAAATATTATGATGATTAGCAAATATGTCTTATAGGAGATAATACTCAGTTGAAACATGGAGTCTAGAAATATGGGGGATGAGGGTGTCGTATAAAAAAAGTAAAAACATAAAGATGTAGATGATCATGTCTGCTCTGGAAATGGTGACTAAAGCCAGAGAATTTGTCTTGGCTGTTAGAGAGGTAAAGGTCTTGTCTGTCAAGTTAAAGAGCTGCTCCCTGACAGTCACCAGGGAGCCACTGTAAGTACTTGTCCCTTGTCAGTGAGATACTTGGATTTGGTACTAAAATACTTGTTAAATAAGCTATTTTGGGTTGTGGTCTTGATTTAAGCTATTAGGTCATTTTGAGAGACAGTGATTAGAGCTCTTCTATTTTAGAACCATAACCATTTAAAAAGTAAGATGAGGGGGAACCAGCAGTTAGCGTTAATGGCTATGTTGCTGGACTCCCACGTAGTCGACTGTGGTTTGCGTCCCGGACCCGGTGGCTTAAAACTCATGCCGGGCGCGTGTGCGTGCGTGCCCAAGATCCCAAGAAGAGAATGGAAGAGAAGGGATTGCGGCGTGACCATCCTCCATGGGAGGTGATTTCTCGCTTTCTGTCTCTATGTCTCTCTCTGTCTGTCTGGTGAGAGCATGCGCCCTATGGCAAAAACCTCTCCAAAAAAAAAAAAGTAAGTTGAGGGACCAGCAGGGCATGATGATTAAGGTGCTGGACACTCCCACATGGCTGACCGCGGTTCAAATCCTGGACCTGGTGGCTTGCTTTCTCACTTTCCCGCTCTCTTTCTCTGTGTCTCTCTCTGGTCAAATTAAAGTAAAAGAATGAATAAATAAAATAAAATAAATAATTTTAAAAAGTGAGTTGAATCTTTTGTAGCACCATATAAATCTGTCAACTTAGAACACTCCTATATTCTAGATTTCAGAAATACAGAGGTCTCAAGAGCTTCCGGACATCTCCATGGGATCCTAAGGAAAATCTTCCTCAAGATTATGCTCGGATCTTTCAGTTTCAGAACTTTGCTAACACTAGGAAAAGCATCTTTAAAGAGATTGAGGAAAACGAGGTAGAGGGAGCCGAGGTATCTACCTTTCCTTGATTATCCTGTAATTTGCTTTTGTTTGTCAATATGCTATCTACTCCTCCTCTTGGCCTGAGAATGTTTACCTTATTTAGTTTGTGTTGCCCATTGCTAAATTAAGGGAGCCACTAAGTGATCAGTAAAAGTGATGTTGGAAGAGGTAGCAGAGATGTTAATTCAAAAAGTTGAATCTGGGTAGTTGAGGTACCTGCAAAAAGACAGTCTTGAAGGGTGAACATTGGCTTTAAGGTAGTCTGACAGAGTTAACACATTTGGAGAAATGTTTTGTCATTGTTAACATTTGAGTAATCTCATGATAATTTTTTTTGCATTTTTCTGGTAGGTTGGTTGGTATGTCACACTTCACGTCTCTGAAGTCCCTGTCTCAGTAATTGAATACTTTAGGCGAGGAACACCCTTGATTGCATTTTCTTTACTACCTCATGAACAGAAGGTAAGTTAGTGTCTTGTGGGAAATAAGGAGTTAAGAAACTTTCCCATTTATCCTAATAGGCAAAAATACCTACTTAGAGATTTTTGGGATAGGGTGCATGCACTCACTAGAGAGACAGAGAGACAAAGCAAGAAAATCACCTCCTAGCAGGGATGGCCATGCTGCAACCCTTCTCTTCCATTCTCTTTTTGGGATCTTGGGCATGTATGCACATGTGTCTGGCGTGAGTTTTAAGCCACTAGGTCCGGGATTTGATGTGGAAGTCCAGTGTGACATAACCATTATGCCATCTGTTGGTCGCATGAAATATTCCTCTCTGGGATGCAAAAAGTCTGCCTTATGATGTGGTTAGGATTTAGAATAATAGAGAAGTCGATGATGGTTTTACCAATAATGTCTGAACCTGTCTGAGGCATCTCAATGATGCAATCTCTGTGTGGTTCTGAGACTTCTCTGAGGTGTGTTTTTCAGATCAGATTTTGAACAAGGTTTGGTAACCATAAAAATAAGGTTTATGTGAAAGTGTAGATCTCCTCTCTTAGTAGCCAGTAGTGTGTATGTTGGGGGGATATGTTACAGCTCTGTCCTTTGGTCAGGATGCGTAAGGGAAGAAAGAGAAGGGCCTCAAATGAGCATTGGAAAAAAACCCATCCTTTAGTTTTATATATTCTTCAGTTTGATCAGAGACGGAGAGAGAGAGAATGAGAGTGAGAAAGTAGCCACCAGGTCCGGGATTTGAACCATGGTTGGCCATGTGGGAGTCTAGCACCTTAACCACTATGCCACCTATTGGCCCCAGTGAGCATAGTTTTAAGGCGTGTAATGAATGAATTACTCAAAGGCCACTGTTTTTTTTGGCAGGTGTTGAGTTCTTAGGTTTGACACAGGAAGATAAGCTAGAGTGTATGAAAGTTTATATCAGCCTATGTTTGGCTCAAATACAGTTAGTGGAGGTAAAGAATTAATATATGTCCATCTACACTCGACTGTTAATTAGCATTAGCACTATCAGTTATTAAAGTGACTTTGAATTTGCTAGTTTGGTTTTTATTTTTTTTTTTTTTCAGGATAGGTTGTTATATTCCTAGACTATCAAGTTTATTTTTTCCTTTTCTTTTCTTACTTGGTCCCCAGATGTCAGTATTGAATATGGTGGTGAGACGGAACCCTGGCAACACTGAACCTGTGAAAACCAAAGAGGAGCTGATCTTCCACTGTGGATTCAGGCGCTTTCGAGCCTCACCTTTATTCTCTCAGCACACTGCAGGTTAGCGGTGGGGAAGCTTTGGGTTCTTGTTTATGTTACTCTTTTAGGAGACAAACTTACTTTGGTGGAGGAGTGCAGAATAGCTTTATACAAACTCTCAGGTATCTGAGTCAGGATTATTTTTCAGCACTGTGGTTTAGGAGCCAATGATGTTTATTCAAATGTCTGAACCTGTCTGAAGCATCCCAGTGATGCAACCTGTGTGTGGTACTGAGGCTTCTTTGCCATGACTATTTGTTCCAGAGTAGGTTTGAAATAGGAGTTGGCAGCTTTCTAAAGAGCGTGTGTCAAATGGAAACCGTGGTGTCTGGTGTGCCGGTGACAGTGTGGGTGAAGGAACAGAAGCTTGATCTGACCCATAGCTGAGTATAGCGGAGAGGTGTGGGTTTTATGATGTTGAGTCTAGATGAGAATTTGGGGTGGGGGTGACTAGAGACACTGTGGCGAACATTGCACTGCTAGCCCACTAATTAGGTTTCTGAACATTACCTTAGCTCACTTTTCAGCAGTAGCAGGACAAAGATGATGAAGGCATTATTAATAGTACTCTGGATCATTTTTATTTCTCACCAATCATGCTATCTAAATGAGGGATTAACTTCTTTCTCAACATTTTTTCTTTGGAGAGGTTTTTGCTATAGGGCGCGAATGCTCGCCAGAGAGACACAGACAGAAATCACTCCCCAGGGGGAATGGCCACACCACAATCCCTTCTCCTCCATTCTCCTCTTGGGATCTTGTGCATGCATGTACACGTGACTGGCACGAGTTTAAGCCACCAGGTCTGGAACTCAAACTGTAGTCAGCTACATAGGAGTCCAGCAACACAGCTGTTACACCAACTGCTGGCCCCAACATTTTTTATTTTTCTATAATTTTAGTGTTAAAGAAGTAAACAGAAGTTCTAGATGAATTTAAGACTGGGGAGCAGGGGCCAGCAAAATATAGCCATTGGGCCAAATGTGTTCCATTGCTTATGTTTGTAACTGAAGTTTAATTGGAACACAGTTTTGGCTTTCTTTTTTTTTTTTTTTCTCAAAGTATTTTCTATGGCTGCTTCTGTGCTATATTGGCAGATGTGTGCCAGTTTCTGCTCAAGACTAAGTAAGAGCTATGATTTAGTGGAGATAGTCTCTGTAAAGCAGTGGTTCTCAAATGCGGTAGGGTTTAACGGCTATCATAATCACCTGGAGAATCTTTTGAAACCCCAAGTATAGTCTAGACTCCACGTTTCTGCTTCCAGTTGAAAGATCACTGAAAGGACCATGTTATATCTTTCCATTTTTATGGAGGGCAGAGAAATTTTTGAAAACTAGTGGGGTAAAGAAATGTGAGCTGCCTTAGGTTTAAGGAGTTAAGTAATAAAATTTGTCACAGGCCATCTGGATTACCTGTTTCTTAAAATGTTTGTGGTTTTTATTTTTAACCTTTATTATGACAGCGGATAAACATAAACTTCAGAGATTCCTGACTGCTGATGCGGCCCTGGTTGTGACAGTATATGCGCCAATTACTTTTCCTCCTGCATCTGTGCTGCTTTTCAAGCAGAAAAGCAACGGTAAGTTGAGTTCATGGAGGTAAACAGGCTATAGGTTCTTAATAGGTTAGCACCATTTCTTTTCTTTTTTTTTTTTTTAAGAGGTTTTTTGCTTATGGTGCGTGTGGTTGCCAGAGAGACAGATATAGTGAGAAGGAAAAGCGAGAAAGTGAGAGATCCCCCTCCTCCCTCCCGGCAGTTCAAACCAGAACTCGAACTGTGGTTACCATGTGGGAGTACAGCAATGTAACCACTATGCTATCCGCTGGCCCCATTATACCATTTCTTTTTCCATATTTAGATTTGAGAGCCAAATTGTATGGAGAAGGTTATGATGATTTTCAAAATATCCCAATCTCAGCCTCATAGTTAGGCTAAGGCAGGGATGGCAGATTGGGTTTTGTCTTGCTTGCAAACCTTAGCTAATTGGCAGAAGGTGTTGAGTGCTATATTTAAGATACATTGTTGGGGGGGCGGCTGGCAAGTGGAGTGGTGGTTAAGGGTGCTGGATTCCCACATGACCAACCACAGTTCAAGTCCTGGACCTGGTGGCTTGCTTTCTCACTTTCCTTCTCTCTCACTCACTCTGTCCCTCTCTGTTCACATTAAAATAAATAAATTAAATTTTAAAATCCTTTAAAAAATTCTACATACGTCTTCAGATGAACTGGAATGATAAATGAAGGCCTTGGTCTATAAACTCCTGAACAGCTGCTTTGTTTTTGTCCCTTAGGAATGCACAACCTCATTGCTACAGGTCATCTGTTGTCAGTGGATCCAAACAGAATGGTTATCAAGAGAGTTGTTCTGAGTGGTCATCCTTTCAAAATATTTACCAAGATGGCAGTAGTACGTTACATGTTCTTCAATAGAGGTAGGTTGAAGAAAGTGGACAGGATCTAATTGCCTTTGTGGTGTAAAGGTTGGGATTATAGTTCGGCATGGAAATGTTTCATCTTGGTCTTTGTATTCCATTCTAAGAGGATGTACTGTGGTTTAAACCTGTTGAACTGAGAACAAAGTGGGGCCGTAGAGGACACATCAAAGAGCCTTTAGGTAAGAGAATGGGATTTGGGACCTTGTCTAGATTTCCCCAATGTTTTTAAATGACTGTTTAGTTGGAAGTTCACTGCTTTAAATTTTTCTACTTTTAATTTGACTAACTTGCTCTGTTTTCCTTTAGGTACCCATGGCCACATGAAGTGCAGTTTTGATGGGAAGCTAAAATCCCAGGACACAGTACTAATGAATCTCTATAAAAGAGTTTTCCCCAAATGGACTTATGATCCACATGTACCAGAACCAGTACCTTGGGTGAAAAGTGAGAGTTCTTTAGTGGTGCCTGAAGTTGACATGGAGTAATGGATTCAAAGGGATTATGTCTTACTGCTGCCAGTTAGCCCTTTAGGGAGGGTGCTAATAGGTTGTCATGTGCCTAGCTGTGTGCTATGCCCTTTTGTGAAAGACTTCTCTGGGACTTGACAAGTATCTCATTAAGGTTTTCTACTACTACGTAATCTAAAAAACTATTAAATCTTAGAGAACTATCTACTCTTCATTAGAATTTTGAAAACTGCCCCCTTTTTTGAAAACTTTTTAAGTGGGGAAGACAAAGTTGACAGTGGAAAAATTTCCATCTAGAGACACTGGATCCCATCCCATTTACATAAATTAAACATTAACAGGTTAATAAAGAGTTGGCCATCCTCCCTGCTTCAACCAAGTTAAGGAGGTTAAGTCTACATTCCCACCACTGAGCACAACACAAATGTTCTTGACATCTGGGGGAACTGTTTGGAAATGCTGAGACAGCACAGCAGCCACTCCAACACCAGCTGTAGGTTCGATGAGTAGCTTCATCCTCTCCCACACCAGCTGGGTTGCATACTGTTGGTACAGAAAACAGCATGAATTAGTGAAGTGTGGGAAGGAGAAAAAGCCTAACTGGCTTAAATACAAAGGCCAGATGAGGGTATATATGCTCTGTTTATTGCTCTGTACATGCACTTGCCAATGAAGGACAAAGCTTTTCTTTCATTTTGCTTCTTTCAAGTGTTGTCTTAATGTATTCCTAACTAGCTCCCATGTTAGGAAGTCACCTAATCAAGTCCCCATGGGTTAGTTGCCACTGTAACATGTAAAGGTGCATTTCCAAAAAAACTATATCATTTCTTTTGTCAATTCTTTTTCTGTATGGGACTTACCTTAATTTCTTCCTCTGTGACGGTGAAGACATCGTCCACCAGGTCCCTTATAATAGGCCAGGTATTTAATCCAATGCTGGATTTGACACCATCTGCTATGGTTTCAGGAGGAGAAGGATTGGGGGTCAGTTCCCCTTTCAGTTTGGACTGGTAGCAGTCATCTGCGTTCAAGGGTTCGGCAGCATATACCTTCACACTAGGTCTCAAAGCCTGGGAAGAAGATTAGACATCTTACTTACATGCAGCTAACCACAGCATTACTTGCATGCCTAAAGTAAAATAGAACAGGCAGCACATTTCTGCCCAAGTAAGGGCCTTCCCTTTGATGGACGTAATCAAAGTATAACCTTTAAGCACTTTGTAAATAAATTTTGTATCTAGTATTTTAGCTGTCTGGGTCACTGTTTTATTTATTTTTTCTGAGGGATTTTTGCTATAGGTATGTGTGCTCACTGGAGAGATAGAGACAGACAGAAAGTAAGAAATCACCTCCCAGGGTTGATGGCCATGCCATAATCCCTTCTCTTGGGATCTTCAACATACATGCACATAAGCCCAGCTTGAGTTTTAAGTCGCTGGGTCCAGGACTTGAACTATGGTTGACTGGGTGGGAGTCCAGCGACATAACCATTACACCATCTGGTGGCCCCTCACTTTGGTTCTATTGCTAGGAAAAAGAGTAGCCCCTAAAATGGATCATAGGTTGATGAGTTGGAATTCAGGGATGCCACTATTCATGATTCCACTAATTCATGAGGATGCCACTATTCTACCTGCATAAAGTCACAGATTACAAACAGGGTAGTGAGGCAGAGAAAGGCTTTCTAGCCCAAGTGCCAAGGAGTAATGAGAAGGAATGGACTTTTGGGGGAATGTTGAGCAAGTATTCACAATGCGCTATGGTATAAAAACATCTCTGAAGCAAGGAGTACAGAAGCTGTTTTCTCACCTTTACTGTAATTGCTATTCCAGCAACCATTCCTCCTCCTCCCACAGGTACCACCAGTGCATCCAACAAGGGAACCTTCAGTGAAAAGAATATAAGGTGTAAATAGACCTCTTAAACAGTTTTATGTGTGCATAGAAAATAACCGAATCTATAGCCTAAGAGCTTTTCCACTAGGTAGGCAGGAAGAATTTACTATGCAGTTTTACCTGGTTCAGCACTTCCAGGGCAATTGTCCCTTGTCCCGCTATCACTGCAGGTTCCTGGTTTGGATGGACCATGATGCCTTCTGTTTCTTCCATAATTCTTTTTGTAACATTTTCTCTGGACTGAAAGAGTACATTAATTTTATCTTACTTGATACTCATTTAAGAGTTCCCAATATGTTTGATGTACTTGCCAGACAGACAGAGAGGGACAGAGAGCGAGAAATCACCCCCCGGGGGTTGGTCATGCCGCAATCCCTTCTCCTCCATTCTCTTGGGATCTTGGGCACGCACGCACACACGCCCGGTGTGAGTTTAAGCCACTGGGTCTGGGACTCAAACCGTGGTCAACTACATGGGAGTCCAGTGACAGAGCCATTACCTCAACTGCTGGTCTCTTATTTAAAAACTACTTATTATTTATTTATTTATTCATTTATTAGTTTTTAAAGGGCCCACTGGGGCCTTTTAAAGAGTCACTAGACTCTTAATGTGATCAATTGCGGTTTGAGTCCTAGACTCAGTAGGTTCAAACTCATGCCAGGCACGTGTGTGGGCATGCCCAAAATCCCAAGAGGAGAGTAGAGAAGGGACTGCAGCATGGCCATCCCTGCTTGGGAGAGGTGGTGATTTCTTGCTTTCTGTCTGTCTGTCTCTCCAGTGAGCACACTCACCCTATAGCAAAAATCTTTCAAAAAAAAACACAGAAGGGCCAGAGGACCAGCAGTTAGCGTGATGGCTATGTCGCTGAACTCCCATGTAGCGAACCGCGGTTCGAGTCCCGGACCCGGTGGCTTAAACTCACGCTGGCGTGTGTGCGTGTGTGTCCAAGATCCTAAGCGGAGAATGGAGGAGAAGGGATTGCAGCGTCAGTAAGGCAGGAAGAATGGTTGGTCAAATGAAAGCTATTAAGATGGTACTGCTCCTTACCTCGTCACTCTGTTCACTATATATTATAGAGGCTCCATAGGCTTGTATTGCCAGTTTTTTGCAGTTGGGAGCTGTCTGGGGCACCACAATATAAGCAGGAATTCCTGGAAGGGGAAAACATGTTTAATTAGTGTATGTCTTGAGAATTAGGATAGAAACTTTTTTGTTTTTGCTTGTAATAAGATGGGAAATTTACTTCACTATTCTCACTGAGAGTAAGGATACTTTCTCACTTCTCCCTGATGATTCCACCCAGTACTCTGATAAATCAGTCAAGTACCTTCCAATCTGGCAGCGTAGGTGAGGGCCTGGCCATGGTTTCCACTGCTGTGAGTAACAACAGCTTTGGGCTTCCCTTCCAAAGTGGCAGGAATCAGGCCTCTGATGGCATTAAGAGCACCACGAATCTAGAAAAGGAAGATGGTGAATTATTTAATTTTTAGAAGTTTTGAACCCAAAGAACTTTTCTAGGTTTTCTCTCGTATCACTAAATCTTATCAATTCTACCACCTAAATATTTCATGTGCATCTTTGCTACTACTTTGTGAGACCTCATTACTTACCTTGTGTGTTATCAAACCTCAATGGATTCTGCCTCATGCATCATTCTCATCTAATATTTCCACTAGATTATAAAAATGATCTTTCAGTAACACAAACCTGGCCATCTCTTTCACTGACTGCCAATTTTTTATTTTTTTCTGAGGTAAAGTATAAATCCCTTACAAGTGGCAGCCTTTCTAAAACACATCTATTGCCTCTGTCACTTTTGTAGCTATACTAAATTATTATTAACTTTTTTTTTGGAGAGGTTTTTGCTATAGGGTGCATGTGCTTGCCAAAAAGAGACAGACAGAAAGTGAGAAATCACCCCCCACCCCAAGGGGGAATGGTCGCAGTCCCTTCTCCATTCTCTCGGGATCTTGGGCACACATGCACACGCACCCGGCATGAGTTTAAGCCACTGGGTCTGGGACTTGAACCACAGCTGACTACATGGAAGTCCAGTGACATAGCTATTGTGCCAACTGCTGGTCCCACTAAATTATTTTTTTAAGAAGTATTTTTTAAATTTTATTTATTCATTCAATCATTTTCATTTGACCAGAGAAAGACACACAGAGAGAAGGAAAGTGAGAAAGCAAGCCACCTGGTCCAAGACTTGAACCATGGTTGGCTATGTGGGAGTGTCCAATGCCTTAACCACCATGCCACCTGCTGACCCCTAAATTACTTCTAGCCACCAGGTTAGTTCACATATCTGTACCTCTGAACATGCTGGAACCTCCTCTATTTGTAGTACTTTTTTTTTTTTTTAATAACAAGTTTCCTGTGTTTCATTTCTAGACTCTGATAAGTAGCACTGAATTTCTATTTTTAAATTTATTTATTTTAGTTTTATTTTTTACTATAATTTTTTATTTTTAATTTGGCCAGAGAGAGAGGGAAAGTGAGAAAGCAAAGCAAACCATCAGGTCTGGGACTCAAACTGCTGTCAGCCATGTAGGAATCCGGCATCTTAACCACCATGCTACCTGCCGGCCCATATCTATAGTTCTTTTTCCTCACTCCCTATACTTATACAGTAAAACTTTCATCAAACATCACCTGGTTCGACTTCCTTGATCTCCTAGGCAAAAGCAGTCACTTCCTTCTGTTATTCCATTGCACCTTATTATATAATTTGCTACTCTTTTTCCTTTTTTAGGTTTTTGGAAAAGAGCGTGTCTATTTTCCAGAGAATGAGAGCAGGAAAGTGAAAAATCATCTCCCCCCAGGAGGGATGGGCATGCCACAATCCCTTCTCTCCCATTCTGCTCTTAGCATTTTGGCACACATGCATATGTGCCCCAGGGGTGATTTTCAGTCTACTGGGTCTAGGGCTCAAACCATGGTCAAACATGTGGGAGTCCAGAGCCTTAACCACTACACCACCTACTGGTCCCAACTTACAACTCTTTTAAGGTATTTCTCATCTTTCTGTTGGTCCATCAGCCTATCTTCCCCTGCAAGTTTGGATAAAGGACAAGTCCTACTGTATACACATCTAGAAAGGGTACTGAAAGATTATAGTGCGTACTGTGTGATAAATGAAGAACAAGAAAAAAGAACATGTAAGTTTGTTTCTGTTTTTTAAAATTATAAAAATACTTCAGTTAATGGCTTGGGGTAAAGACAGATTCTTGAATTCCTCAAGTTGCCAGTTAACAAATACTCTTGGGTTGGGAGCCAGCAGGTGATGTGGTAGTTAAGGTGCTAGATGATCCCATGTGGCTGACCACGGTTTGAGTCCCAGAGCTGGAGGCTTGCTTTCTCACTTTCCCTTTCTCTCCATGTCTCTCTCTGGTCAAATTGAAGTAAATGAATGAAAACAAAAAAAAAAAAAAAAATACTGTGGGTTGTCAGAAAAGTCAAGACTTATTTTTCTATGTAAAAATGCATAATGATTTTTTAAAACATTTTAAAACAAAATTATTAATTTATTAATTTATTTAAATTTGACGAGAGAGAGAGTGGGAAAGTGAGAAAGCAAGCCACCAGGTCCAGGACTCGAACTGTGGTCAGCCATGTCGGAGTGTCCAGTGCCTTAACCACCACACCACCTCCTGGTCCTAACTCTTTTTATAAAAAAAATAATGATTTAATTTTATTAATTGTCATTATTCTTTTTTTGAAGAAGTTGACCAGAGAAAGAGAGAGAGAGAGAAGGAAAACAAGCTGCCAGGTTTGAGACTTGAACCGTGGTCAGCCATGTGGGAGTCTAGCCACCTTAATCACTATGCCACCTGCCAGCCCCATGACTCCTCTGACAACCCAATAATACCTGGCAGGCACAGTGCTATGGAACATTTTTTTCCTTGAAGAAAATTTTGCTATAGGATGTATGCATTCCCTGGAAACAGAGAGAGAGCAAGACAGGTAAATCATCCTCCCAGGGGCAATTGCCACGCTGCAGTCCTTTCTCCTCCATTCTTCCTCTTGGGATTTTGGGCACACACACACACATGTGCACCTGGTGTGAGTTTCAAGCTGCTGGGTCCAGGACTTGAATCATGGTTGGCTAGGTGGGAATCCAGCACCTTAACCACTACCCCATTCCTAAAGTACTTTTACTTGAAAGGATTTTATTTTTAAATTTTTTTCAGTTTTGCTATAGGGTATGGAGATGGCCATGCCATAGTTCATTCTCTCAGAATTTTAGATTGTAGGCATGCATATACATGCATGCCCATGATTTTTAAGCTACTGGATCCAGGACTAGAACTGTACAGTAGGCTGTGTGGGATCCAGCTGCTTTAACTTCCATGCCATCTGCTGGCCTTTACTTGAAAGGATTTTAAAGCTCAGCCAAAGGTTCCAAGATCGTGGTAACAAGATAATACATAGAAGTCTACATTTATGCATAGAAAAAGAAGTGACGTATTTCATACAGAGAAATCTGAGAGTTTAGCTAGGTTTAGATCTTTTATATTCAGAGTGAATGTATAAACTTCAATTATATAAAGGGTGATCATACTTCCCATTTTATCTGCAGCAGCCCAGGTTGAGATATATTGTCTGAGGTTTAATAATTTTAAGTTCCCCCTTTCATTCTGAAATGTATTAGTTTGGACAATAAACATTACATACAAAATATGTATATATTTCATATATATAATATGAAATATATGTATATCACATATAAATATCACATATAATTTATGAGGGGGGGGTCTTCAAAAAGTTAATGGAAAATGTACATTATAAAAAAACTCCAGGAACCAGCAGATGGTGTAATGGCTGTGTTGCTGGACTCCCATGTAGTGGACCATGGGTCAAGTCCTGGACCTGGAGGCTTAAACTCAACGCTGGGCACATGTGCGTGCGTGCCCAAGATCCCAAGGAGAATGGAGGAGAAGGGACTGTGGTGTGGCCATCCCCCCTGGGGAGTGATTTCTTGCTTTCTGTGTCTCCGTCTTTCTGGCGAGCGCATGCACTCTATAGCAAAAACCTCTCCAAAAAATTAAAAAAAACAAAACAAAAAACAACTCCATGGGGCAAGCCAGTTGGTGTGGTGAAGGTTGCTGAATCCCACATGACTGATAGTGCAGTTCAAGTTCCAGACCCAGCAGCTTGAAAAATGTGCCAAGGGGCCAGGAGGTGGCATAGTGGTTAAGGTGTTGCATTCTTGCATGGTCAACCATGGTTAAAGTCCCAGAGCTGGCAGCTTGAAACTCATGCTGGGTGTGTGTGTGAGTACCCAAAATTCTAAGAGGAAAAGGGGTTGTGCGGGTGATTTCTCTCTTTCTCTCTGTCTCTCTAACGAGTGCATAAACTCTACAGAAAAAATTGCTCCCCAGGACCAGCAGTTAGCATAATGTCTATGTCACTGGACTCCCATGTAGTCGACTGTGGTTTGAGTCCTGGACTCAGTGGCTTAAACTCATGCCGGGTGCGTGTATGTGCAAGCCCAAGATCCTGAGAGGAGAATGGAGGAAAAGAGATTGCAGCATGGCCATCCCCCTGGGGGATGACTTCTGGCTTTCTGTCTGTCTCTTGGGACGCCCGCGCTCCCCCGCAGCAAAAAACTAAAAAAAAAAAAAAAAAAAAAAAAAAAAAAAAGAAAAACAGACCAAGGGCATGTGCATGTGTGTCCCAAGTCCCAAGGAAAGTAGAGAAGAATTGACTACAGTGTGATCATCTCTTCTGGGAAGGACATGCTTTCTCACTTTCCCTCTCTCTCATTCTCTGTCTCTCTCAGATGGTCACATGAACCCTATAGCAAATTTTAAAAAAATTAATAACCTGCATGGATTTCAAAATTCTTTTTTTAAAGAATCATTTGTTTTAATTTTATTTATTCATTTTTTTTAAGAGGTTTTTGCTGTAGGGCGTGTGCGTTCGCCAGAGAGAGAGAGAGAGACAGAGAAATAGAAAGCGAGAAGTCACCCCCCAAGGAGGATGGCCACGCTGCAATCCCTTCTCCTCCATTCTCCTCTCGGGATCTTAGGCACGCACGCACATGTGCCCGGCGTGAGTTTAAGCCACCAGGTTCGGGATGCGAACTGCAGTCGACTATGTGGGAGTCCAGCGACATAGCCATTATGCTAACTGCTAGTTCCATTCATTTGTTTTTTTTAAAAATAATTACTTATTTTATTTTTTATTTATTCATTCATTTTTTAATTTGACCAGAGAGAGAGGGTGAGAGAGAGAGAGAGAGGAAGTGAGAAAGCAAACCACCAGATTCAGGACTCAAACCCTGGCTGGCCATAAGAAAATGTCCAGTGCCTTAACCACCACGCCACCTGCTGGTCCCTATTCATTCATTTCTTAAATAATTATTTTTATTTATTAATTACCAGAGTTTTGCCAGAGAAAGAGAAAGAAAGAAAGAAAGCCACTGGGTATGGGACTCAAACCAGGGTCAGCCAAATGGGAATTCCAGCACCTTAGCCACCATGCCACCCACTGGCCTTCATTAATTTATTTTTTAATTTGACCAGAGAGAGACACACAGAGAGAGAGGAAAAATGAGAAAGCAAGCCATCAGGTTGAGGACTTGAACTGTGGTTCGCCATGTGGGAGTGTCCAGCGCCTTAATCACCACGCCACTTGCTGGTCCCCTCAAATTTCTTTTGTACTTTTTAAAAAAGTTTTTTGCTATAAGAGTGCATGTGCTCACAAAGAGACAGAGAAACAGAAAGTGAGAAATCACCCCCAGTGGGGACGACCACATGGCACTCTCTTTTCCTCTATTCTTCTCTTGGGATCTTGGACACACACTCACATGTGCCCTGTGTGAGTCAAAATTCTTTTGAACTTTAATTCCACTTTTCCATGAACTTTTGAAGTCATTTCAAATTTGGAGATTATATTATATATTTAAAAAATTTTTAAAATAATTATTTATTTAAATTTATTTGTTATTATTATTTTAAATAAAATTATTTTATTTATTTATTTATTTAAATTTGGCCAGAGAGAGAGAGAGAGAGAGAGAGAGAGAGAGAGAAAGCAAGCTGCAAGGTCTATGACTCAAAACGTGGTCTGCCATGTGGGAGTCCAGCATCCTTAACCACCACACCACCTGCTGGCCCCTATTACTGTTTTTTATTTTATTTTGTTTATTTATATATTCAATTTTTATTTTTGAGAGGTTTTTGCTATAGGGCACATGTGCTTGCCAGAAAGACAGAGACAGACAAAGAGATAGAAAACAAGAAATCACCCCCCGGGGGGGATGGCCACACCACAATCCCTTCTCCATTCTCCTCTCAGGATCTTGGGCACGTAAACACACGCACCCGGCGTGAGTTTAAGATGCTGGGTCCAGGACTCAAACCACAGTCGACTCCAGTGACATAGCCCTTAACGCTAACTGCTGGTCCTAGCCTATTATTTTTTAGAGAGATTTTTGCTATAGGACATGTACACTTGCCAGAGACACACAGAGAGAAAGTGAGAAATTACTACTCAGGGGGGATGGCCACACCACAATTCCTTCTCCTCCATTCTCCTCTCAGGATCTTGGGCATGCATAGACATATGCCTGGTGTGAGTTTTTAAACTGCTGGTTCCAGGATTCAAACCATAGTCGGCTAAGTGGGAGTCCAGTGATGCAAATATTGTTATCTGGTAGTCCCTCTATTATTGTATTTTTAAAATTTGCTATAAGGCTCATGTGCTTACCAGAGAGAGGAAGAGGAGGAAAATGAAAAAGCAAGCTGGCAGGTCTAGGACTTGAACTGCGGTAAGCCATATGGTAGCCCAGTGCTTTATTCACTATGCCACCTGTTGGACCCTATTTTTTTTTTAATTTTATTTATCATTATTTTTAATTTGACCATAGCAAGACAGAGAGAGAGCAAGAGCGCAAGCATGCAAGAGAGAGAGAGAGACAAAGTGAGAAAGCAAGCCACCAGGCCTGGGACTTGAACTGTGGTCAGTCATGTGGGAGTCCAGCATCTTTAACCGCCATGCCATCTTCTGGCCACCCCTATATATTTATTTATATGACCCCTAATTATAAAGAATTTTCAAAGGTTTATTTATTTTTAAAATTTTATTATTATTGGGGCTGGCAGATAGTATGGTAGCTAAAGACGCTGGACTCCCACGTGTCCGACCATGGTTCGTGTCCTGGATCTGGCAGCTTGCTTTTTCACTTTCCTTCTCTCTTTCTTTGTCTCTCTCTGAACAAACTGGAAAAGAATAATAACAATGATAAATAAAATTTAAGAATATTATTATTATTTTTTAATTTGACCAGAAAGAGACCAAAAGAAAGAAAGAAAATGAGAGAGCAAGCTGCCAGGTCTGGGACTCAAACGGTGGTCAGCCATGTGGGACTCCAGCACTTTAACCAACATGCCACCTGTCAGCCCCTATAAGGAATTTTTAGATTGTAAAAGTAGCTTATTGTGGGACCAGCAGTTGGCGTAATGGCTATGTCACTGGACTCCCATGCAGTTGACTGCGGTTCAAGTCCCAGAACTGGTGGCTTAAATTCACAGTGGGCGCATGTGTGTGCGTGTCCAAGAATCCCAACAGGAAGATTTGGAGAAGGGATTGTGGCGTGGCCATCCCCTCCAGGGGGTGATTTCTCGCTTTCTGTCTCTCTGTCTTTCCGGGGAGCTCACGCGCTCTATAGTAAAAACCTCTCCATAAAAAAAAAAAAAAAAAAAACACCAATAAACAAAAGTGGTGTATCAGGACAGCTGGCACTGTGGTGGTTAAGACAGCTGGATCCCACATTGCCAACTGCTCATTTGAGTTCTGAACATGGCAGCTTGAAAAACACACCAGAGGGAACCAGCAGTTAGCGTAATGGCTATGTCGCTGGACTCCCACGTAGTCGACCACGGTTCGCATCCCGGACCCGGTGGCTTAAAACTCATGCCGGGCGCCTCGTTTGCTTTGTGGCGATTGCATTTCCCCTAAAAAAAAACCTTCCAAAAAAAAAAAAAAAGAAAGAAAAACACACCAGAGGGGCTGGCAGGTGGCATGGTGGTTAGGGGCATTGGACTCCCACATGGCCGACTGCAGTTTGAGTCCTGGAGCTGGTGGCTTTCTTCCTCTCTCTCTCTCTCTCTCTCACTTTGTCCCTCTCTGGTCAAATTGAAGGAAGGAAGGAAGGAAGGAAGAAAGAAAGTTAAATAATTCTTTTTTTTGGAGAGGTTTTTGCTACAGGGTGCGTGCACTCACCAGAAGGACAGAGACAGACAATGTGAGAAACCACCCCCCAGGGGGGAAGGCCACACTGCAATCCCTTCTCCTTTATTCTCTCGTGATCTTGGGCACGCACACACACATGCCCGATGAGAGTTTAAGTGACCGGGGCCAGGACGCAAACCGCGGTTGACTACATGGGAGTTCAGTGACATAGCCATTACGCTAACTGCTGGTCCCTAAAATAATTCTTTATCAGAAAAAAAAAAATCATATACAACAGGCATGTGTGTGTGTGCATACTTCAAATCCTGAGAGGTGAATGGAGGAAAAGAGACTGTGGAATGGCCATTCTCCTTGTGGGTGTTTTCTCACTTTTCCTGTCTCTGACTAGTCTATGCACCATAGCAAAAAAAAGAAAAAGTGGTTTATACGGATAGCAGGTGGCATGCGTTAAGGTGTTGGACACTCCCACATGGCCAACCAGGGTTTGAGTCCCGGACCTGGTGGCTTGCTTTCTCACTTTTCCTGTGTGTGTGTGTGTAGTCAAAATTAATATAATGAATAAATAAAATTAAATAATTATTAAAGCAAACAAATGAAAAAAATGTGGCTTATCAACACCATAATGCTACATAACTGGGAGTTGAAAGGTGAATTTCTGCATCCTTTGTCCACTGTAAAAAGGTATTAGTTTATTTCTAATTGCCACCAGGTGGTCAGGAGAATCAAATCAATTTATATTTGAAAAGGGTTTCAACACATAAATGACAAAGAGATTGTTACCTTAAAAGATCCAGTTTTCTGGAAGAGTTCACATTTGAAGAAAAGATTACGCCCTGTTACTTGATTGAGAATGGAGCTTGTCAGCACTGGTGTGAGGTGGATAAAATCTCGAATGTTGACATGAGCTTTTTCAACATCAGCAAAGGAGATGCAGTACTCAGCACACATGGTTCTGAAACCCAGAAATAAGAAAGGGGTCAAAGCAAAGTTTGAGGCAATATGTTTTAAAGATCTTGAAAACTGGGACCAGCAGTTACCATAATGGCTATGTCGCTGGACTCCCACGTAGTCAACCGTGGTTTGAGTCCTGGACCCGGTGGCTTAAACTCACGCCGGGTCCATGTGCGTGCATGCCCAAGGTCCTGAGAGGAGAATGGAGAAGAAGGGATTGCAGTGTGGCCATCCCCCTGGGGTGTGATTTCTTGCTTTCTGTGTCTCTGTCTTTCTGGCAAGGGCACGTGCCCTATAGCAAAAACCTCTCAAAAAAAAAAAAAAATCTTGAAAACAGTCAACACAGGAAAATAGACCTGGGGTCTGTGGAGTTATGTTGGAACTGTCTCCATTACTGAGTGCTGAGTGTCAGAATTCCTACAGAGAAGGGGACTTCTGAAGCTGAATGAAGGTTTTCTGGGGAAGCTTTGTAGAAGTAACTGATGGTGATTATGGAAGGCTTAATACTCACTCTTTGCCCACACCATCCATCTTTAGGCACTGCCACTAGGTTTGACTTTGCTGCTCATCATTGTCATGCTACTTGAATGAATTAGGTTCAAAATCAGCTATTTATATTTAAAAATTACTTAAAAAAATGTCAGACTAGCCCATGGTGTGGTGGCTGGATCCCACAGAGCTGACTGCACAGGTTGAGTCCCAGACTCAGCAGCTGGATAAATACGCTGTGCATGCCCAAAATTCCAAAAGGAGAAAGAAACAGAGGAAAAGGGATTGCAACATGACCATTCTCCATTGTGAGGATGCTTTCTCATTCTCCTTCTCTCTGTCTTTCTCTGGTGAGCATATGTGCCCTCTGGCAAAAAAGCTTTTTATTTTTTATTCATTTATTTTAATTTGACCAGAGAGGGACAAAGTGAGAGAGAAAGGGAAAGTGAGAAAGCAAGCCACCAGGTCTGTAAGAACCAAGGTCGCCTTGTCTGGGCCTCCTACCGTAGTCGGCCATGTGGGAGTCCAGCGCCCTTAACCACCACGCCACCTGCTGGCACCCCTGTGTTTAAATGAACTCTTAACATTTGAAAAATAAAATTTTGGGGGGGGACTGGCAGGTGGCATAGTGGTTGAGAGCGCTGGACTCCCACATGTCCAAATACAGTTTGAGTACCAGACCTGGTGGCTTGCTTTCTGTCTGTCTGTCTGTCTCTCTTTCTCTCTCACACACACACACATACACACACACACACACATGTGCATGCACATGCACTCTGTCCCTCTCTGGTCAAATAAAAATAATAAATAAATAAAGTTAAATAAAACAATTCTTAATAAAAAGCATTTTATTTGAACAAAGGGCTTTTAAAAAAAGATTTTTGGTACAGGGCATGTGTGCTTGCTGCAGGGACAGAGAGTAAAAAAGTGAGAATTCTTCCCCTAGAGGGAATGACCACACCACAATCCCTTCTCTTCCATTTTCTCAGGATTTTGAATATGCATGCACATGCACCTGGTGTTAGTTTCAAGCCACTGGGTCTGGGACTCAGACTGTGGTCAGCTATGTGGGAGTCCAGCGCCCTAACTACTATGCCATCTGCTGGTCCTGCAGCAAAAAAAAGTATTTATTTATTTATTTTTAAAAATTTTTTTTGGAGAGGTTTTTGCTGTAGGGTACGTGTACTCGTCAGGCAGAGACAGACAGACAGAGACAGGAAGCGAGAAATCACCCCCCAGGGGGGATGGCCACGCCGCAATCCTTCTCCTCCATTCTCCTCTCAGGATCTTGGTCACGCATGCACATGCGCCCGGCATGAGTTCAAGCCATCAGGTCTGGGACTTGAACCACGGTCGACTACGTAGGAGTCCAGCGACATAGCCATTATGCTAACTGCTGGTCCCAAAAAAATGTATTTATTTTTATTTTTAAAGAATTATTTTAGGGGACCAGCAGGTGGCATGGTGGTTAATGGGCTGGATGCTCCCACATGGCTGACCACTGTTCGAGTTCCAGACATGGTGGTTTACTTTCTCATGTTCTCTCTCTCTCTGGTCAAATGAGAATAAATGAGTGAATAAATAAAATTAATTCTAAAAAAATTATTTTATTTAACTTTATTTATTTTAATTGGACCAAAGAGAGAGAGAGAGAGAGAGGTCAGCCATATGGGAGTCCAGTGCCCTTAACCACAACATCACCTGTTGGCCCCGGCAAAAAAGTTTTTAAAAACTGCCTATAATACTAACATTTTATTGTATTTTATTTTAAAGAATCATTATCATTAAAAAATATATATTTTACTTAACTCTATTCATTTACTTAATTTAACCAGAGGGTGAAAGAGAGAAAGTGAAAGCAAGCTGCCAGGTCCAGGAGTTCAACTGTGGTTGGCCATGTGAGAGTCCAGTGCCCTTAACCACCACACCACCTGCTGGCCCCAGAATTATTATTATTTTCAAAAATATTTATTCAATTAAATTTATTTATTTATTTTCATTTGACTAGAGAGAAGAGACAGAGTGAGAGAGAGAAAGTGAGAAAGCAAGCTGCCAGGTCTGAAACTTAAACCATGGTCAGACATGTGGGAATCGAGTGCCCTTAGCCACCATGCCACCTGCTGGCCCCAAGAATTATTTTATTTTATTATTTAATTAAATTAATTAATTAATTATTTTTTGGAGAGGTTTTTGCTATAGGGCATGTGCACTCACCAGAAAGAGATAGAAAGCAAGAAATCACTCCCCAGGGGGGATGGCTACTCCACAGTCCCTTCACCACCGGGTCCCGGACTTGAACCGTGGTCGTCTACGTGGGAGTCCAGCGATGTAGCCAGTACACCATCTGCTGGTCTCTTATTTATTTTAAATTTGATCAGAGACACACCGAGAGAGAGAGAGGAGATGTGAGAAGGCAAGCCACCAGGTCCAGGACTCAAACCATAGTCAGCCATGTGGGAGTCCAGCACCTCAACCACCATACCACCTACCAGCCCCCATTTTATTTTTTTAAAAATATTTATTTAATTAAATTTATTATTATTATTATTTTCAAGAGGTTTTTGCTATAGGGCGCGTGCGCTCGCCAGAGACAGACACAAAAAGCGAGAAATCACCCCCCAGGGGGATGGCCACACCACAATCCGTTCTCCTCTCGGGATCTTGGGCTTGCATGCACATGCGCCCGGTGTGAGTTTTTTAAGCCACCAGGTCTGGGACGCAAACCGCGGTCGACTACATGAGAGTCCAGCAACATAGCCATTACACTAACTGCTCGTCCCCCTAAATTTATTATTATTTTAAAATTTGCTGTAGGGCATGTGTACTCACCAGAGAGAGAAAAAGTAAGAAAGTAAGCTGTCAGGTCTGGGACTTGAACCATAGTCAACTATATTGGAGCCCAACGCCCTAATCACTAACATTTTAATAAATTAACTGTGAGTCCAGCTTTGGTGGCATAGTGACCTACAGTGCTAGAAGCCACATGACCAATTGCTGGTCTGGATCCCTAAAATGCACAGGGCATGAATGCACGTGCCAAAGATCCTAAGTAGCTGGAGGGCTGAGGGAAGGTGCCAAGACCTTGTCAAGGGTGTCCGCCCACCAATTCTCTCTCATGAAAGATTAAATTAAAATAAAGATGTACAGGGCTGACACTTAGCACAATGGTTAAGTGCTCTGCATAAGGAGCCAGATCTCACATAGCTAAGATTTGAATCCTGGCCCCAGTGGCTTGGAAAGAGCATGCATGTGCACACATGCACATCTGTGCCAAAGATCCCGACAGGACAGAGAAATGGAAGAAAAAGTATTGTGGCATGACCAAGCCCCACTGGAGGGTGCTTTCTCTTCCTCTCTCTCTGGTGTGTTTATGCTGGGCATGTGAGCATGCCCAAAATACTGAAAGAAGGGAGAGAAGGTACCACAGTAGGGCCATTCCCCATGGGGGATGCTTTCTCACTTTCCCTCTTTATCACTGTTCCTCTTTTGTGAATGGACATGCCCTCTGGCAAATTAAAACAAACAAAAAAACCAACACACGCCTCTGGCAAATTAAAAAAAATCTTGTTAATTTTCTATTTCCATCTGTGTTTTTGATACATATATGACAGTTAAAAATCACAGCAGGGTCAGCCAGTGGTGTGGTGGTTAAGGTGACTGGATACCACATTGGTCAGCTGCATGGTTGAATTTCAGACCTGGTGGCTTCGGAAAACATGCTAGGCACTTGTGCATATGTGCCCAAAATCCCAAAAGGGGAATGGAAGACGGGGGATTGCATTATGCCCCCTGTTCCCCCCCACACACATACCAGGGGTTCATTCTCTTTGTTTCTCTGGCAAGCAGATGGGGCCTATAACAAACTTTAAAAGATTAAAGCAAATACTTTTACTCCTACTCCATTTGCCTCAGTTTAAGGTTTTTATGACTATAATCTTTTTTTTAAAATAATTTTTATTTAACTTTATTTATTTTAATTTGATCAGAGAGGACAGTGAGAGAGAGAGAGGGAGAGTGAGAAGGTAAACTGCCAGGTCTGGGACTCCAACTGCAGTTGGCTATGTGGGAGTCAAGTGCCCTTAACCATCACGCCACTTGCCGGCCCCATGATTACACTTTTTGATAACTATTATTTCCTTTTTAAAAAAAGAAAAAAAAAATCGCAAGAGGGTGTATGTGCTTGTCATAAAGAAAAAGGAAGAAAGGAAGAAAGCACCCTTCAAAGGGATGCAGTCATGTTGCAATCTCCATTTCTCCATTTGGGCATGCATGCACATATACTCAGCATGTTTTTATAGCCAGTGGAGCTGGAATTTGAACTGCAGTTGGCCATGTAAGATCTGGATCCTAAAACCCCTAGGCTATAAGCTGGCCTCCTACTGGTTTTATTACAGCACTTGAATATGGAGTGTTAACTTTTCCTCCTTACAAAAGCTATTCATCTTTAATAGTAAAACAATTTAAACTGAAAACACAGAAATGCAAAAAGAACCCCAAAATAATTACCAACCT